GGTATTTTTAATCTGAAAAAAGCTTCACTGAGTGAGAACTAATGTTGAGCTCAGCAGACAGTTAGGTTTCACTTTCAGTTTTTCATCTGAGAGCCTGCAGGAGTCATGGGTGGGGTGTGTGGGGAGGGGCTGCGCTCTGCCATGAGGAAGTTCAGCTTAAAGACACGTCCCAGGGAAGTTTCTGGTACCAAAAGGCGTTTCTGGTCCCCACCTGTCGTTTTGCTCCTCAGCATGGCTTCCTAAAAACGCTACAGGATTTCTCAAACATGCATGAATGAGTCAAAGCAAGGCTTTGGGCATGTTTTTATGAGAGTATAACATTATAACATGATATAAAACTCAAAAAAGTTGATTTTACATGATATTGCCCCTTTAAAGCTGCAGTCTGTAACTTTTTAAAATGTACATTTTTGACATATTTGTTAAAACTGTCACTATGTCCTGACAGATTGATATTAAAAAGATAATCTCTGGGGGCAAAAAAGGAAAAAAAAGCTCCTCTGGCTCCTCCCGGTGGTCCTTCTGCCCTCTGTTAAAATCCCAGAGATGAACAGCCAATCAAAAGTGAGGTTTGTCTCATGCACGAGCTGTTCTTGCCCACCCCACAGCCGAGCTAGCGCGCTCTCGTTCAAACAGTAAGCTAGCTGAGCTAGCTGAGTGAAGCTGACCCCTCCACTCCTGTTTACAAGCATGCGCGCTCCCGTATCTGGGCCCTGCTGTGGGGGAGGAGCTTAGGAAGGGGGGCTGAGAGCAGGGGGAGGGACTAGAAGGTTGTATCTTCAAAATTTTTCTAAGTTTTTGGGTTTTCAAGAAACCACATACAGCAGCTTTAACAGTTGAAGCTTGTATCAACTTGTCTCAATATTCTTCCTTTTTGAACCTATCCTTTCTGCTCTTTACTTGCTTCTTTATAATTGCAAAAGTTGTTCCAAAGTCTTCGTCTGATCCTGTCTACTTACATTCTCTCATGACACTACAGAATAAATCTGATACTTTCAGATTGCACCTTCTTGATAGAAAATGATCCACCTCTCTTTGAAATACGTATGTGTTAACAGACATTTTCTTTCTTGTGGAGAAAAAAAAATCCACCACCATCTGTCCTTACACATTCTGTCATTAACACCCTACCTCTCTGACGTCTTAACACTCTCTGTTCCCTTCAGCTAACTGAAACCTGCTCCAATCACCTCTTTCAATCTCTGGGATCAATCTTAACCATCTCCTATACGTAACTTATTCCAGATTTCAGTTGTTTGTTTAAAGGGTGACTATGTCCATTTGAATAGTCAAAAAGGGCTTAAAATGCTAATTCATTAGTGGTGTCCCAGTATATCAGTAAAGATACCACAAGTACTTGTACAAAGTGCCTTGATGCCCAAAACTGATATGGATACTCCACTGATATTGCTACAGTTTACATTTTACAAGTGAAAAGTTCGTCAGCTCCATGTTTAGTAAATGTATTAGTATATAACATGCTGTATATTTGATTTGATCCAATCAGAGAGGCTGTAAACCGATAAAGAAGCAGAGACACCTTGTTCTAAATGAAATGTGTTTTTAAAGCCATGTGTAATGTTTAGGTTCTAACTCAGTAAGTACTTGGTATTGGCGAGCACCCTAAACTGAAGTACTCATACTCGGTTTGAGGAAAAACTGGTATCAAGATACCCCTGCTTTTTAATGTAGCAATTTTTAATCAAAAATAAAAGAACTCCTCACCTATCCTTCCCATGATGAAAAAAAGAAAAGAAAAAAAAAAGCATGCCTGAGGTGCAGAATATGAGCAGTTGCCATTGGTTCCTTAACATATTTGTGTGTTTTTTGTATGAATCAAACTACATGTTGTCTGCATTTCTACTCCATCCAGAGAGGAGACTAAGTGGTGAATGAATTCTGATGAAATCACTCTATGTTCCTGCGTTTTGAATCAGGATAGGTTGATTTCATTGCATTTCATCACCACAATATCACACATTCAGTGTACTTTTACACAGGACTGTTACAAGTTCCAGAGAGCAACAGACTCGTTTTATAAGCCCTTGTTCTTATCTGTACCTTATCTTTTTCATAAATGATCTTTTTCTTTGTATTGCTGATATCTGCATATTGACCTGATTGAATCTACATGGAAACGGCTAATTATTACACAGATATACAACATACTGTAGCATGTGGTACATTTAGCATGTTTGAATAACAAACCTTGCCTTGTGTGTCCAGTGAAAAGAGTGTCCTGACACATAAGCACATTTTGTAGAAGTGAAAATTTATTGTTGCGTAGTAAACTTTTATGAGCCGACACAAAGCCATAGTGTCAAGGCTGCAGTTTCACACCAGATAAAGTGACACTGCATTTTTTGTCATCTAGAAAAAGTTATCTCCACTCAAGACAAATATTTATCAGTACAATTTTTTACTCAGTATTTTTATTTTTATATGCAAAAAATATATTTTTTTGTTATTTACTGTTGTTGGAATAAAGTTAAAGTTTTATGTAAATTTGACCTTACTTTTTTTTTTTTACTTTGCAGCGTGTGTGAGCAGGGATTGTTTAATTGTACCCAGGAGACCTGTGAGAAAGTGCAACAATGTCCTCACTCTCTGGTGTACTCTCCACGCACCTGCCTTCTCACCTGTTCCAGTCTGGACCCTCCTGGTCAACAGCAGCTGTCTGCTTTCACACAGTCAAGCTGCACAGAGCCACTGTCAGGTTGTGTCTGTCCTCCTGGGACTGTCTTACTAGTAGGTGAAATCTCAAAGTTTTTTTTTTTTATCGTACAATGAAATAAATCAAACACATAGGTGTATCTCACAAAAGTTTATATATTACACTCACATAAACACTGCATGCTTTTTTAAATGTATTTTGTGTTTTATATTTCTCAGGTTTTCAATGGTTAGGCTAAATGTGCCATTAATAGTTAATTAATTAATAGTTTGGCAGCTTTTATACTTATAAAATTATTTTATTTATAAAAACATGGTCACACACCACACTAACAACATGCCACATTCACACTGCAGGAAAATGAAACCCAAATCTGATGATGTTTACAAATCTGACCCAGGCCTTTTCAGTATGTGGGACTGAATCAAATACATATCTGATGTTTTTCAAAGCGACCTCAGTCTGCACACCTTTGTCTCATTTTATCTGACTTTTACATCAGTGGGGCGTTAGAAGGGCCAAAGTCAGGTAATTCTTTAACCACTACTGACTGCACAACAGAATCAACATGTTAGCATAGCTTGTGCTAAAGCTCAGTAAACCAACCAAATAAAAGGCTAAAGTCTGTGTTATCATCACAGAGCCAATGACCATTGACCAATGACCAATGACCGGGTCCAGTGAGATGAGTTGGTTTCTGTAGTTTCATTCTCATGTGTAAAAGAGCTGTCAGCTCATTGATTACAGAGCAGGAGAGGACTTCTAATGAATGAATTTACCATAAAATTGCATATAAAGCACCCCAACATTTATTAACTCAACTTACATTGATAGAATATTTTTGATTCTCACGATAACACGGGGCAAAGTGCATCCTGTTTCAGATCAAGTCAAGACACGGGGTTTTGTTTCTGTAGGGGATGATTCTGTTTTTCAAAGAATGGCTGGCAACCCTACAGGATCATGTGTTAGCAGTCTTTTCTCCAGCCTAATCCTGATCCTTACCCTAAACCCAACCACTCCCAGAACACAACTAACCCTATCCCATCCCCATATTATACCTTGGTCCTAAATTTATCCCTAACCCACCGATAACATTCCACCATGTTAGGACTGGTCTTTGTTCCACAAAAGGACAACTGGTCCTAACAAAGTAGGTGTTTATACCAGAAAAGGTCCCAAAAGGGTAACAAAAACCTTAAAGTATATGTGTTGTGTGTGTATCAATGTGTGTACCACAAAATTTGTGTTCTGCATTTACCCCATAGCAATTAAACAGAACCTGTGAAGTTATGAACTAGAAGAGGAAGATAAAAAAAACAGCAACAAAAATTATTATAGTGTTGTAAGATGGAGTAAAAAAAGGAAAAGTCTGAATGAATGAACATACATTCAAAAAGTTAGGGATGGCGAGGTTCTGTTGATCAGTTGTTAGGTGTTGTCTTAGTCTCATGTCACAATGTGAACCATATGATGAGGACTGTTTAAAAACAAATTCTAATTGAACCAGGAAATTTATTGGTCAATTCATGGCTCAAACCCCACTGGTGAATTTTGCCGTTACACTTCTTGTTAGAGAACAAGTTGTGTATACTGAAACATTGAACAGATGGACACGTGCATTCAGAAATGTAGTACAGGTCACATTAAGTTCACCTGTAAAGGTTATACTACATTTTTGGTTCATTATGGAAGCCACTTATCCCTACGTTTTTGTGAGTAGTGTATTTATAATGTACTGAGAAATAACAAATATTACTGTATTTCTGTTGTTGGTTCCAAAATCTCTCTCTCGACACCACCTACCATCATTTGATCCCATTTTTCTGTTGGCTGAATTTTCTGGTCATAAGCTTGCAAAATATAACTACATTATATCTTTTTCAAATTTAGGGGGATCACTGTGTTCTGCCAGATGAGTGTCCATGTCACCATAATGGCAGGCTTTATTCCAGCAATGAAACCATCACAAAAGACTGCAACACATGGTAACACACACAGCTTTTTGTTTCTGTTACCATCTCAAAGATAAACAGCAATATTTATTTTTTATTTATTTAATTAATTAATTTTTTTATTTTTGTAGTGTATGCAGGAAGCGTCACTGGCACTGTACCCAGTCTATCTGTGCTGGAGTATGTGTTGCAACTGGTGATCCACACTATGTGACGTATGATGGCCGCTATTATTCTTTTCTTGGCGATTGTCAATACGTGCTGTCAAGGGAGACCAGTGGTTTGTTCAGCGTTACGGCGGAGAATGTGCCATGTGGGAGCACTGGAGTCACCTGCACCAAGTCAGTCACGCTCAGCCTGGGACACACCGTCATACACCTGCTAAGAGGTAAGAATTACAGCTGGGCTACTCTGGGAAGCTGAGGATTAGCTGGTTGGAGATGTGAACATGGATTTAGTGGCTTCAGCAGACCCCAGTGATTTTGCGCCATTTTGTCGTTTTGCAGTTTTATGCTAAAACTGAAGAATTTGTTGACAAATTGACAAAATGCAAATAGACTTTTATACAATTGAAAGGTCACAGTTTTGTAAGCGCTCAGGCTTGTTGCATCAAAACTCAAAGTTTAAGTCAAGTTTAATCAATTCTCTTGATTGCTGCTGAAACATTTCTACACATCAGATCCACCTGTGGTACAGTAAATTAACTGGACATATTTGAAAAGGCATAAATCTTTCAACGCAATCAGACAGTCATCAAAAACTAAACCATGATGTCATATACAAGCAAAGGTTTTCGGAACCACTGCATAAAGATAAAGCAACAATTTGCTCAGGGTTTTCAAAATAGTCAAGAAGATATGTTCTTTAAGTACCAGGATCAGGAAATAGAATTAGTCATTTAAAAAAAAGTTTTGCCCACCCTTGTGTCCCCCTTTGCATGAAAGTCTAGCTCCACCCCTGCTGGAGAGACCTGTAAACAACTCTACCTTAATCAATCTGACAAATCTCAAGATGATTTACATAAAAAACTGATGAAAAATATTTCAGTTAAAGTGTACAGAGTTTGTTACATCACACCCTAAAAGATGTAAGACCAGTGACAGACAGAAGTTTTCTGGTTGCATGTGTTGGTCCAGAAAAATAACCTTTTTTTTCCTTACATGGCATTTTGCTGAGGGTCTAATCATGTTTCTTTGTCCTTCTCTCATGGTCAGTGACTATCATGTAGAATTACATCAGGAGAATTAACTATTTGAAATGAAATGGCTGCATTTAGAAATAGCTTTACCAAAAACCGTCTGGCTCCACCCCTGTGTAAGGCTGCAAGTGCTGCCAAAGATGCTTTAACTCAGTATGAGATAAATGATGATTACTTAATGTAATATTAAGTGTTTTTCTTATAAGAGATCAGAAAAATTTCTGATAAATATGGTGATCTGACACTGTATCATGTGTGTTTTGGTTGAGTTTTGTACCCATATGTGGAAACAGAAATATAGAGAACTCAAGGGGAAATTAGAAAACAATTTAATAACCAAAAATGGAGAATGCGGACAGGGCAGCCACAGTACTTACAAAACATGATGAATACAGGGAAGACACGGAAGTAGAAAACGTGACTGACAGTGGGAAGCAAAATATACAGAGTAGGGACAAACAAAACAACTCGGTATTTAAAGACTACACTAATGAGGGTAGAATGACAAACACCTGTGGAAGACAACAAGGATCAGGTGTGAGTGGGAGCTGAGCTACATGAGAGACAAAACACTGGAAAAGCTGAAAACTGAAAAAAATCTCAAAAAGAAAGCAAACAAAGATACACGAGGACTACACACAAACAAGGGAGCTTAATTATGTTCAGTTACAATTGTGTATTTTTCAAAGAAATTTAAAAACATATGAAGCTCTGTTTGTATGTATGTGTGTATGTGTATATATATATA